TCCGCGGGGCGCAGAGTCGCATGCGGAAACGGAAGCTCAGAGAGGATGACGGCCTTGCCCAATATCGCCCGGGCGGTGCGGGGCGCCGCTCCCCGCTCCCCGGCCGTCCGCTCCCGGGAGGAAGTGGAGGTTGGATGGGGGCGCAGACCCGCGGGGCCTGGGGAGGGCGGCCTGCACGCCCCAGAGCTGAGCCGGGAGCCCCACGGAGTCTGCGGACACCTCGCTGCGTGGCGTGCACGTGTCTATACCAGCGAGCCCGACCCGGGCGTGGGGGCGAGGGTGTCACTCCTGTAAGGACGAGGGACCTGGCCGCGCCCCCACCGAGCTGGGGCGGATGGAGGCGAGCGGCCCCGGGAGGAAAGCGGAGGGGCGTTGAGCGCTAAGCCACGGGGAAGGCGAGGCCACGGGGCGCGCTCGAGGGCGCGCGGCGCGCGGTCCCCGTGGGCCCGGAGGGAGCTCGGGGGCCGCGCCGTCGGGAGCTCGGGGGGCGGGCGGTGCGGGTCCGGGCGGGGCGGGCAGGGGCGGCGCCAGGCGGCGGTGACGTGCGAGGGACGTGCCGCGCGAGCGGCTGGAGCCCGGAGGCGCCCCCGGCGCGGCGCCCGGCAGCGAGACGGGCAGAGGCGCGCGGCGGCTGAGCGGCGGCAGGTAGGCGCGGCCCGGGTGCTGGGCGCGGGCGGGTGCCTGGGACCCTCGGGGCCACCCGGGAGCCGAGTGAGCGCCCGGCGTGGGGGCGGCGCCCGGGCCCGCGCGTTCGCCCCTCGCCCCTTCTCTCGATGCGGGGCGCCCCGCACGGACGAGCCTCACGCCCCGCAGCGCCCTACACCAAGGGGTCCCCCCCCCCGGGGACCCCTCCGCGCCCGGGGACCTCGCCTCCCCGGCCACACCTGGGCGCCCCTCAGTCGAGCGCCCCTCGGGGTCTGGGCTCGGGCCAGGAGGCGGCTGCCCAGCAGCCGAGGCGGGTCCCGGTATAAATAGCTGCCGGGGCGCGCGGGCTATATTTGGTGGGGCTGCCACCTGCCCGAGCCCCCTCCTCGAAGGAGTGGGGAGCACGTGCGCTCCCGGCGGCCGAGGCGCGGAGGGGGCGCCCACGGGCGGCCCTCTTCTTCAGCACCTGCCCCTTCTGGCCGCCACCCCGAACACTCACCAACCCACACCCGCCCTGCGGCGCCGGCTTCCAGCCTGGACCCAGGGCGGAGAGGCGGGGGCCCCTTCCAGAATCAGGCTGAACTAAGGTCGCCCCACTGCCCTCCCAGGTCCCTACCTGTGCGAAAACCAAGCGGGGCCCCAGGCGCCTCAGCGTTTGTATCTGAAAAGTCGGTTCACAGTGCCCCTGCCTGGATGCTGGGCCAGCTTAGTGGCTGGCAAGCCTGTGCGTTCAGGGGTGTCTTGGCCACCGGGTCGCCTGGAGTCTGGGTAAGGGATAGTGTGCTTCTCATCCAAGAGGCCCTGAACTACTCCTTCAGAGCTGCCTGGGCTGACCGAGTCACCCTGCGGTGATCATGAGAGGCTGAGTTTCCGAGGGACAGCACGTGGCAACTGGACCCTCACCCATGAAACCCCAGCCACGGGGGCTTGTCCAAAACCAAGAGCAGGGGTGGGTGCTTTGTGTGCAAGTGGGTCCCAGGGGTCTCCTGCCTCATTCTGAAGGCCCAAAGGTCTGCTGGGGTCAGGTGGGTGCTGAGAGGGACAGGGACAGAAGCCAGGTGTGTCGTGGAGGCTGGACTGGGCCCCATGGAGCAGGCAGTGGCCCCTGTGATGGGAGGTCTCCCCCCAGAGGGGCTCTGAGGGCACCGTGGCAGGGCCTCGGCAGGTGTGGGGACTTCCTGCCCAGCAGTCTGTGATGTGCACACAGCCTGGGGTGGGCACTGGGAGGCCTGGCCCCAAAGCAGGCTCTGTAATGACCCGGTGTGACCTTGGGCAAGGCTTGAGAGCCCGGAGGCAATGGCTCTCACTGACTCTAGCTGGACATCTCAGTTTGGAGGGGCCACAAGGAGGGGGGTTTGTGCTCCCCCGGTCAGCGGCCAGGAAGTGTGTGTGTGTGGGGGGGGTCTGTGGGATCCCACGCACAAGCCAGTGATGCCCCCTGTGCTAGGCATGACTCGCTCCAGGGCGGGTCCCTGCAGTGACCTGGCTGGTGTGGAGGGGAAGGGCCAGTGCTGCCCCTTGAGGTGAGGAGGCTGGGCCGTTCCGTCTGGGAAGTGACGGGTGGAGACACGCAGCAGAGCTATCCACCCGCCCGTCGGAGGCGCCTGCGGATCGGGCCTGGGGCGCACCGGGCACTGGGGCTCCTCAGGGCGGTGCCTGGGCGAGGGCAGACCTCCCGGCCTCGCCCACATCTGTGAAATGGGTGGTGTGGGGAAGCCAGGGCCGGAGCCTCGGAGTTTTCAACAAATCGGGCCGAGCCGCGCTGCGCTGGGGGAACCAAGGGGTCCCCTTCAGTGCGCAGCCGCTCGCTGACCCCGGGCGCCCCGCGCACCAGCCAATACGGTAGGACCAGGAAGGGCGCGTACTCCAGGCAATACGGCGCGGCTCCTCCCATGGCGCGGTCACGTCCCCCACGTCCCGCGGCCCGCGAGCGGCCGGGCAGAGCTCCCGCCCCTTCCAATCCCGAGTCGCCACCCTGGTGGTACCCGCCCAGCCCGGCGGGGAGGTGGTGGGAGAACGGAGCCCCGGGGTTAGCGGGAGGAGCTCGCCGCGGCTTTGGCCTCAGGGCACTGGCTTTAGGGTGCGCGGCTTTCAGGGAGGTGAGCAGTGGGGCCAGGTGTCCACGTGCCCTGCAGGCCAAGCACTCCCAGGCTGGGCAGGGTCCGAGCCTGGGGCAGGCGCGGCTTCTGGCCTGCTCTGACTTCCATTGCCTCAAGAGGAGGGGGCTCCCAACAGAGTAAGCCCCGAAACGTCCCTGGGGCCACCTGCTGTGGCCTCCTTACCACAACGGGGATGGTGTTGGAAGGGGCAGCGGTTCAGAGGAGGGGGCCCGGGGCACTTCCCAGCTGGCCGACGAGGCTGGGATTACCGGCCTTTGCAACAAGGCAAGCCCGCCTGGGAGCTGCCAGGGTACCAGGCATGCAGTGGGGGGGCTGCGTGGTCGGTTGGGGATGGGGTGGAGGACCTAGGCCAGGCCTAGCAGCCAGGGTTCAGGGGATCATACTGGGGGTGGACCCTTGCCCAGCACCCACCTCCTACCTCCCCAGAGAATCTGCAGTCACAGCCCTGCACACAGGTGGGGGCAGTGCGGAGGTGGAGGGATCCCGCACCAGGCCTGGGAAGGGGGCAGGGCAAGGGCATCCTGGGTCTGACGGGTTACCTGTTTGCACCACTGGGGCAGTAGGGGAAGCAAGATGGGACTCTGAGGCCCTCCCTTCTCCCAAGGGACCAGCACCCCCCTGCCCACAGCCACCCCCACAGGCTTCAGGGGACTTGGGGCTCAAGAAGCCGGGAACTAGCCACAAGGGGCTCCCTTGGTGCTCAGGTATGTCTCACAGGCCTCCTGGCATGGATGAGTCCTGCAAGGAATGTAATTGTTCCTTTCCTACCCTACCTGCCTGGAGCTGGTCCCCAAGGTCTGGGAACCCAATTAGAGACCCTGCCACCTCCACTAGAATGCACACTTTCTGAGCACTTGGGATGGGCTGCAGGGTCTGGGGCCAGCGGCCACCACACTGAGCTTAGGGATGTGCCTTGTCCTGGAGGCCCATGGTGGGTGAGGGGACTGCGGTACTGCGGCCCTTGTAAGGGGAGCATGCCGGGCTGCACTGGTGTAGCGGCAGGCCTGTGGGCTGGAGCGGAGTGGTGGGAGGGGCCCCCAGCAGTGGGAGAGGCCAACAGGACATGGGGGTGTGAGAGGTCTCCAGGGGGTGATGTGCAGGGGTGCACTGGGTATTGTTGGCACCGGGATGGAACCCAAAGCCGGGGAGTTTGGGCAAACAAGGCCGCGCTGGGGAGGGTGAGGAGAATGTGGCAGGCCACCAGGCTGAGTGCTGGGGGGCTTGGAGGCTGGCATTCTTGACCCGAGGGAGAAGCTGGCAGGAGTGGCTGCTTCAGGAGGCCGCAATGGACCCTCAGATGTGTGGTCTGCTGATCAGGTCACTCCCAGGGGCCTCATGCTCACTTCTCCTTGGGCAATCCTCTGCTCAGCTTCTAGCTCGGAGCCTTGTCTGGCCTAGAAGTGGGCACACCCCACCTTGGGGATCAGCTTTCTGGAGCCCAGAGGGCGGGTTATTTCTGGGCTGGGGACGTGGTTTGCATGCTTCCCTGGGAGAGTAAATGTCACCAAAGGCCAGCCGGCCAGTGCACACCCACGGATGTGCTAGCACCACCTCCGTCTGCACTGCTGTGAGGGCCCAGCCCCCTGAGGGGGCCGCTCCTCCCGCCCCAGGTCTAGAGTGGGCAGCACCAGGGCTGTGCCTGGAACCTCAGCCAGCTTGTGCCTCCGCTGCCTTGGGCTCCAGAGGTGGACTGGGTGGTAAGGCCTTCTTGCTCTTGGGAATCTTGGCCCCCTTCTCTCCCCCTGCCCCATACAGACATGACCCTGCTGAAATCCCTTTGCCCAACCTAGAGCCACCACCCGTTGTCCAGCTGAAACCTTGCTGAGAAACCTCACTTTGAGGACCCTAGTGTGGGAATGGGGCAGGGCCGTTTCCATGTGCCTGGCACCCCAGGCAGGGGAGTTTGCTGGGAGAGATGACCGTGCTGGGCCTCGGTTCAGGCACAAAGTTTTGCCCCTCCAACGTGAGCCTCCTGGGGTAGCCACTTGGCCCACGCAGGCCCTGGAACACACCACATCCTCCTGACCTCGGCACCTGCCCTCTGCTCACCCTGGTGGGTGCTGTTCAGGGGACTCCCCATGTCCCACAGACTGCCAGCAGGCAGGAGGGCCTCAAAGGCTGGGTTGCCTGTGACCCCAACGAGCACCAGGCAAATGTCAGGGAAAGGCCCTGTTTTGTGACCTGAGGTATATAGAGTTGGCCTATTTCTAGTTGTTGGTTCCAGACATGCTCAGGGACCACTTGACTTATTTTAAGAAGTGCAATACACATCCATCAGCCCACAGCCCAAAGCAGCCGCGACCTCCCGGGCACCTCAGGGCCACACCGGCTGCTGCCCTTTGTCCTGAGTGTGGGGTTCCCATGCTTTCTGCCTTAAATAGTATTACTACATCACAGTGCCTTCCTAAAATGTACATTTTCCTTTACATTAGACCTGGAAGTTTAATGCCACTGGGACAAGGGCTCTCTGCTGCTTGCCGCCCCCACCTAGTGTTCTGGATTCGGCATGATTCGCCCTTTTGTCCAGGCCCAGGCCTGGGGCTTCATGGTCAGAGGCAAGGCTCTGGAGGGCCTGGGACAGAGCCACACCAAACCTGTGCCCACTGTCCAGGCAGAGGCCCCCGGCCTCACTCCAGTCATTCCCAGGTTCTGGGTCTGCCTTAGGTACGGAAGTGGGCCACCCAAGGCTGTGCCAGTCAAGAGGACTGGAGAGCAAGGGGCAGGAGGTGCAGCCAGGACACATGGGGACTCTTGTGGGCAGGCGAGCGGGTGATGGAGGGGCACTGTCAGGTGCTGCTGGCTCTGGCCTCCCACTTAGAAGTTCCTGGGCATCGGCGCAGGGGAATGTTGACACCACACAGTCGGCAAACGCCACACACCAGGGCTCCTTCCTCCCAGACAGCTGGCTGACGGCACCTGGCCAGTGAGGAGAGGGCCAGGCTTCGGAGGGCAGCAGCGCAGGAAGGACTGAAGTAGCCGTAGTCTTGGAACTGGCCTCCTGTCCCCACGCCTGCAACGAGGCTGACCCTCCTTGAAACAGCTTGTTTGGTGAGGTGGAGGGACAAGGCCCCCAGGCTGCTCCTTAGGATGAGGGGATTTCTGGTACCAGGTCAACTGGAGGGGCAGGGATGATGGACGGAGGGCAGGACCTTCAGCCAGAAGCCGGGCCCCAGCATTCCAAGCAAGTGTACCTCCCAACAAGCTAAGTTTCTGAGGCTTAAGAACAGGAAGGGGTGTGGGCTGAGGCAGGTACAGCCAGTCGGACCCTCCTTGCCTAAGCAGCCTGGGGCCGGAAGAGTTTGCTCCAGGGGATGACAGGAGCCCCACCCCTGCCCATGCTTCCCCACCTGAGGGGTCAGAACCCCAGCAGCCGACAGGTGCCTTCTTACCTGGGCTCTGCGCCTGCCCCAGGCCCAGTCTCTCCCCTAGAACAGCTGCCTCCTGTGGTTGATCACTGCGTGGGGGCAGTCGGCACTGGCAGTGAGCGGGTGGGCAGGGGCAATGGGGCAGGGAAGGACCAGAGGGCCACGAGTGATGCCCACCTGCCTCCTGGGTGGCCCTGCGCTGCCCAGCGCCCCAAGCCCCCTGGCAGCACAGCCTTCCTTCCTCTCCAGGCTCTCCCTTGGAGCTGCAGTGTGGTCCTGGGGGCCCTGCTCCCCTGGGGGTGGGAGGGCAAGGCTGGTCGCATCCAGATTCAGGCCTCAAGGTACACCACCCACAGACGAGGCCCCGGGGGTGGCAGGTGCTGGCTGCCAGAACCTCACCGGCAGTAGTAGGCCGCTTCCCGGCACGGGGTCAGGCGGGAGGACGGGGCCCAGCTGGGGTCTGCTTGCCTCAAGGGGTAACCCGAGACCTGGCTGAGCCCAAAAAAGCCACTGCCCTTTAAGCCAGCTGTGTGGGAGCAGGCCAGGCCTGCTTGGAGGGCGGGTGCTCAGGGAACAAGGCACCGGCCCAGAGCCAGCCTCCTGCCTGGGGAAGCGGTGCCTGGCCCGGGCGCCGGCCCTCAGGTGTGTCTGTCCCTGCACTGCGGGGCTGTGACCCGCTGCCAGGTCAGCCCAGCTTCCTCCTCCTCAGGGACGCAGAACAAGACCTCCTGGCCATGGGAGGAGCTGCGGTCGACGAGGGCCCAACGGGCGTCAAGGCTCCCGACGGGGGCTGGGGCTGGGCCGTCCTCTTGGGCTGCTTCGTCATCACGGGCTTCTCCTACGCCTTCCCCAAGGCGGTCAGCGTCTTCTTCAAGGAGCTCATGCGCGAGTTTGGGATCGGCTACAGTGACACAGCGTGGATCTCCTCCATCCTGCTGGCCATGTTGTATGGGACAGGTGAGGGGCCGCCATGCCTGGGGCGGCCGCCCCTGGGGGTTCACCCAGTTCCATTCTGGCGACGAGCCTCACACAGGCAGGAAGGCCTGGGGTTGGGGGCCCCAGGGGCCCTGGGGGGAAGCCCTCCAGAGCAGGCGCTCCTGCAAGGAAGCAGCAGGTCCCCGAGGGCCACACGGGCATGGGCTGCAGCCCCGGGGGCGTCTTTACAGCTGCTCGGTTCTGGAGGCCTACACAGACCACCCAGGAGAGACTGCTGGCACGGCTGGGCGAGTGGGGGGCTTCCACTGGCCATGGTGCTTTGCTCAGCATGGGCAAGTGGGACCTGAGCTGCAGCACCTGGTACCCTCTGCTCTCCTGGTGTCGGGGGGTGGAGCAGGGGCTTTGGGGAGGGATGCTGCCCCAGGCAGGGTCCCAGCAGGCACAGGAGAGACTGGCCCTTGCACCCCACTTCCTCCTCTGACCCCCGCAGGCCCGCTTTGCAGCGTGTGCGTGAATCGCTTTGGCTGCCGGCCCGTCATGCTTGCGGGCGGCCTCTTGGCGTCCTTGGGCATGGTAGCTGCGTCCTTCTGTGGAAGCATCATCCAGCTCTACCTTACCACTGGGGTCATCACCGGTGAGCGGGTCCCAGCCACGGGTGGGGTGGCCTGGGCGTGTTTGCTCTGGGTGGTAAAGAATGGGGCAGCATGCCCAGGTGGGGCCCCTGGGGCGCAGTGTGGTGTCCTCCCACCAGGGCGCCAGCCTGTCCTTCGTTCTGTCTCTCCTGGGCATGTCAGTTGGTGACTGACTCCGTACACACACCGGGCCCCCTCACGGCGACACCCACTGGACTCACAGGCAGACCCACTGAGGCCAAGCCTGTGCTGGGGAAGCGGCATGGGGCCGGGGCCAGTGGGCCTGCACCTCACTGCCGTCCCCCTTCCAGGCTTGGGTCTGGCACTGAGCTTCCAGCCCTCACTCATCATGCTCAACGGCTACTTCAGCAAGCGGCGCCCCATAGCCAATGGGCTGGCGGCTGCTGGCAGCCCTGTGTTCCTGTGTGCCCTGTCCCCGCTGGGGCAGCTGCTGCAGGACCACTTCGGCTGGCGGGGTGGCTTCCTCATCCTCGGCGGCCTGCTGCTCAACTGCTGCGTGTGCGCCGCACTCATGAGGCCCCTGGAGGCGCCCCGGCCAGGCTCAGGGCCTGGACCTCAGCGGCCATCCAGGCGGCTGCTGGACCTGAGCGTCTTCAGGGACCGCGGCTTCATCATCTACGCTGTGGCCGCCTCCATCATGGTGCTGGGGCTCTTCGTGCCACCCGTGTTTGTGGTGAGCTATGCCAAGGACCTGGGCGTGCCCGACACCCAGGCTGCCTTCCTGCTCACCATCCTGGGCTTCATCGACATCTTCGCCAGGCCCACTGCCGGCTTCGTCACTGGGCTCGAGAAGGTGCGGCCCTATTCCGTGTACCTCTTCAGCTTTGCCATGTTCTTCAACGGCTTCACCGACCTCACCGGCTCCACGGCCAGTGACTATGGCGGCCTGGTGGTCTTCTGCATCTTCTTTGGCATCTCCTATGGCATGGTGGGCGCCCTGCAGTTCGAGGTGCTCATGGCCATCGTGGGCACCCAGAAATTTTCCAGCGCCATCGGTCTCGTGCTGCTGCTGGAGGCCATAGCCGTGCTCATTGGGCCCCCATCGGGAGGTGAGTGCCGGGCACCCCTGCCCGCCCTAGGGAGAGGACCCCCACCCCGACCCACACACTCCAGCTCAGCCAGAAGGTCGACGCGCTGTGCTGCCTCTAGGGGACAGGCCTGGCCCACATGGGAGGGGGCCGCAGGTGCACTCCCAGATGACGGGTGCGGTGGTGGCCTGGGAGGACAGGCCTGGCCCTCCTCCTCTCCGGTGTCCCCCATACTGTGGGGGCACAGCTGAGGCAAGGATCGGCTTTTGTTCCGTCCAGTCTTTGTGGTGGCCGGAGAGATCCCGGAGTGGGATCTGAGACGACATGGCCCTGGGGGCAGCCTTGCCGAGGTCCAGGCTGGGCCTCTCCCTGAGTGTGGGTCTCCCCAGCTGGCCCTGTTGTTCCCCACCCAGCAACCCCGAGAGCAGCACACGCCTCAGGCCTCTAGCTCCTTCAGAGGGGCCCAGGCAGTTCCTGTGAGGGCCGCTGGTGGGGGCCCTCCAAGGAGGCAGACGGTGGGGCCGGCTCCCTCCAGGCCTCCAGCAACCCTCCACCCTGTGAGACCTGCCTGTACCCGCGAGGCTCCAGACTGGTGACCACCGGTCCCCAATGCCAAGATGAAGGGGTGAGTGGAGCCTTGGGCAGACACTGTCCTCTTTGCAGGCAAGCTCCTGGACACAACGCACGTCTACCAGTACGTGTTCCTCCTGGCCGGGGCCGAGGTGCTGGCCTCCTCCCTCGTACTGGCGCTGGGCAACCTCTTCTGCATCAAGAAGAGGCCTGAGGCAGCCCCGGAGGAGCAGCGCCACAAGCCCCCTGTGGACGTGAGGGTGGACTCACGGGAGGTGGAGCACTTTCTGAAGGCAGAGCCTGAGAAAAACGGGGAGGTCACGCACACCCCAGAGACCAGTGTCTGAGTGGGGGCCGCGTGGGCAGCGAACAACAGACACTGTCAACGCTTTTTATTCATTTCACCAACAGGACTAGCTGGGTGGGGCCATTGCTCAGCCGCGGCAGCGCATCGTCACCTCATCAGTATTTTTCGGGGGAGGTGGTGGGGTAGGAACCGTGTCATTCCAAAGCAGATCTGTGATGAAACCAAGCTGGGAGGACCCAGCTTGCTGACCTGGAGTGGCCTGGTGCCCACCACTGGGCTCAAGGACCTAGAAATCCACACTTCGGAGACAATGCAACTTTAATTGGAGGGACAGCTGGGGAACGGATGTGACGAGCCCTCCCTCTGGCCCCCCGAGTGTCTAAGGGACGGAGCTCCCGACCTCGCAGTGTGGGAGCAGCCCTCTAGGAAGGCCTTCCCAGAGCTGCAGGAGTGAGTCTGTGTACTGGGTGGTCTGATCATCGGCCCCAAATCTCTCAGCGACCTGGGTAATTCACAAGTGGTTCTGGTCTTTGTCAGCCAAGCCAACTAAGCGCTGCTGTTCTGGACCCTGCTGTGCCGGCCCCAGGCGGCTTGGAGCATCCACGCGGGGGCCTGGTGGCTGGCAAGGATGTGGCCCTCACTGGGAAACCCCTATGAGGTGTGTGCACTTAAACCAAGACATGCATGTGACTTCTCCTTAGCGTGTGTTCTAAGTGAGATTCCTGCCTTCCATATTTTCTGCCCTCGGTTGGCTGACAGCTGCCCTAGCGGTCAGTGCTGGCCAGGCACCTGACCCCATCCTCCTCATCCAGCCCCACTCGGCCTCGCCCCTGTATCTCACACCCACCTGCTCTTGTGGCCAGTGGCGACCTGTGTGGCTGGGAGCTGGTCAGAGGCTGCTGGGGCCGCCTCAGCAGGTGGTGCGTCGTGGGCGCTGGGGACGGCAGCGAGTGCCCTGGCGGGCCGCGTGCAGCCGGAGAGATGCCACGTCCCTGCTCCTCTGCAATGAAAAGCAAGCGAGAGCTCATGTCTCGGGCCCACCCAGAGACACTGCCCCCTGAGGGACACCGCCCTCCTGCTTCCACCTGCCTTGCAGCTCTGCACACCTGGGCACCTGCCTGCAGCCCACCTGCACTTCTGTGGCCCTGGGCCTCACCTGATTCCCATAATGGCCTTCCCATCCCCTCTGCCAAGCTCAGACTAGAGGCAGTGCCAACAGTTGAGGGGCAAGGTGGAGCCTTGTATCTGCTGACCACATGTGCAAGGTGGGCCAGGCAGAGCCCCTGGGCAAAGCTGAGACCGGCACCCCCTGCCTGTTATGGTCTCAAAGAGATGGCCCAACTAGGGTCACTGCAACTGCCTACCTACCTGGGCCCAAGGGGAAGGGGGAAGAGGGAAGAGGCAGAGGGCAGCCTGTCCACACACCTCCCTCGAGGGCACACCCCCTGCCCATCAGGGCCAGTGGGGCTGTGCGCACCCACTCCCTTCTCCCCCAGCTTGGGGCTTCCTGCAGCAAGCTGAGCGCTCAAGGGGCTGAGCACCCCACTGGTGTCTCCTCCCCCTCACCCTGAGCTACATCATCCCTGCCAGCCAGGGGCAGCAGGAAGTGGGCGGCCCCCCCATCCCCTGCCTGCACCCAAAGGGCCCGGCCAGTATGATGGCTGGTGGCCCCCTGAAGTCCAGCTCTGGGGACACAACTGAGGAATTCAAGATGGTCAACACATCAGAGATGCCCACTGGGGGTGGTTTGGGTAGAAGCCTGGCCTCCCTTGGCCTCAGGAATCCAGGGCCCCTCTGGTCCTCAGCCGGCACTGTGGTAGAGACACCAGGAGGCCCCGGGACCTCCATCTGCCACGGCAGCAACATTAGCCCCACCCGACTGGGGGCTGGTGTTGGGGCCTAAGGGGGAGGGTGGGCAGATGTCTTGTCTGCCTGGTCTTGTTCCAGATGCTTCCAGCTGTGCCCAAGACACAGAGAGGAAACCCGTTCAGGGAGCTGTGGCTGCCAGGGTTGAGGGTCCCAGGAGGGCAGCTCAGTGAACTGTCAGTGCCCTCCTGCCGTCCCCACCAAAGGAGGCTCACACCCAGTATCCCAGGAAGACCCTGTTACATAAATGCCACCCACACATCAGCCCAAATGAGAGGCAGGGATACACAAGCCCGGCACCCTGGCTGCTGCCCAGACCCTGACATCCAGTGGGCTGCCTAAGGGGACTCATGCTGCCCAGGATCTAGGGGACCCACCAGAGGGCCTTCCTGGTTCTTCCTAGAGCCTGATCCGGTCAAGACAGGTGGCAGATGACCCCTGAACACACACCTTCACAGTGCCGGAGGTGCTCCCTCCGGAGGTGCCCCCAGGGAGAGAGGACGGCCCTGCTCCAACACAGGGCCCCCCAGGAGGCTCCAGCAGCACCTCCGCGGGGATGAGGCCAGGCTGTGACATGCTTGGCGAAGCACTGAGCCTGCACTCTCGGCTCAAGGGTCCAGGGAGCTGGAAGGGCAGACGCTGAGGGGAGGCAGTGCCCTGGCACCTGTCCTGCTTGGGCCCCGGGAGGGCTGGATGGGCCCTGGCAACAAGCAGACGTCCTTGGCCTAGGTAACCACAGAGGGGCTGTGAGAGACTGGCCGGCAAGCTGCTGTGGCAGGGGTTCTCCTGGCGGCCAGCTCCTCAGGGGGTGTGCCTGGGCCAATGGTGCCACCCCTGCGCCTTCAACTAATAGCTGAACAGACAAACAGATGCTCCCTTCCCAGATGCTATTTGTCCTATTAGACTAACCTGGGGTGGGGATGGAGCCCAGGGGACAGAGGGCCATGCCCGCAGGGAGAGAAGCCACCAGGCCTGGGCCTCTTGGTCCAAGTAGGGGCCTACTTGGAAGCCACCTCACAGGAACTACATGTATCCGTGGGCAGCAGGGCTGAGGCACCGTGACAGCCACTGCACCATCCACTTCCCCAGAAAACCCAAGGCAGGTGGGAATATTTCCTTCCCCGCCTGTCTGGAGGGCCACGCCCATCAGGGACCTATTTTGCAAAGGCAGCTAGCGCCAGGAGAGAGGGGACCTGCGGAGACCCTTACATGGACTGGCACATGCTCCATCCCGCTTGCCCCCAACCAGCTTACAAACCATACCGATGACACCAAGACAGACTCAAAACCTGGTGAAAACTCCCCAACTGATGAAATAAAGACCACGTGGCAGGGTGGGAAAGAAGGCAGAAGTCATTGTGAATTTATTATCACACGGTGGTTAAGTACACAGACACAGTGGTCATACAAATGTGCAGTTCAGAGACTGGCCGATACAGACATTCCAACTACGTTTCCTGCAGGTCACACGGGGGGAACTGAGTACTGGGAGGACCGCACCACCCACAGCCATACTGCTGAGGACCGAGGACCAGTCGGCTTCCCCAGGGAAGACCTGTGTGCAAACAGCAGAGGCTCCTTGTACCGTCCCGGCCCAGTACCAGGGACTACAGCTGCTAACCTGTCTGGAGGGAAAGCCCACCTCTGAAGGCAGCACTAGCCTATAATGAAAGTCCCCAACTCAACCTGACACACCCCAGCACCCCCCTGCACACCGAGGAACAGCCCCACCCAGCCAAGTTTTCACACCCAAAAACAGACAGTAGGCAGGATCTTGGGATTCAGAAAGAAGCAAACAGCCACACTGTGTGCCCTTGATGCACCCCAGGTCAGGGCAGGGTGCCTGGGCCTGCACCTGGGCTGGAGGGCTTCAGGAGAGGGAGGGGAAAACAGATGCAGACACCTCGGGTCCCTAGCTTCCTACAGGCACCCCGATTCCCAGAAGGACCCTGGGCAGCAGGGGGACAGGAAGCGGGAGGTCCGGGAACAGGAGCTAGACCTCGTTTCCCAGGGCAGGGGCTCCTGCCGGCCGCTGCCCGGTTCCTCTGCCTGCTGCAGCCGAGAGGGAGAGTGCCTCAGGGCACCCAGGAGCTCAGCACGGCAAGGCCTTCCTGGCTGGACCCGGCTGCTCTGCTGCGTGACTAGGTCCTGACAGAGATCACCAAAGTGCAAGACATACCTGCCCCCATGACTAGGCTGGCCAGGCCACTCGGCCCCTGCTAAGGAGATGCCCACTGGCCTTTCCGGGCAAGACGCCCTCGGCTTTGAGCAGAGATGGTAACTAGGACTAAGGACCAATCTGCACATTACAATACAGCCTATTTAGGTAAGTCCCCAAATTCAAAGGCATTGAGGCAACGACCACCACCAGAACCGCCAGACGTGACCCCAAGGAGAGGCCCACACTCGCTCACAACCCTCTCCCGAGGGACCAGTGACGCCCACGCAAAGCCTTTGCTCCCGCCACGCTGAGCTTCCTTGCTGCACCTGCTGGGAGCAGCGCTGGGCCCTGCTGGAGTCGACAACCTCTAACCAAGCTGGCTGCAAGGCCCCTCGCACTTCCATGCCACGCAGGCATTCTTACAGTGGGGACGGGAGCAACAGCCAAAACCAGGCTGATGTGGTCACAAAACACAGCACACAACATACACGCACATCACTTACACACATGTATGTGTGTGACAGAATCCAGACGAGAAAACCCTCTCCACAGGGACCACACCACAAAACCCACGAAACACAGACCACGCAAGTTCACGTGTGCTTAGCTCCCTGCCTCTCCATTCCACAGAAACGCCAAGCCAGCATCTTTGTTTCAGGATTCTTTTAAGTCAACATCTTTTTAAGACCGTGGAAACAGACAAGAAGGAAACAATAAAAAGACAGATTTCTTTACACAGATTTAAGCCAGTAATTTTTAGCAAAATGATACAAAACTGTCTTAGCCAAGTAGAAGACAGGAGTTACAGTGGGCTCGTCGGGAAGCATGGGTGCGCCACGCCGGCGGGAGGGCCGAGAGGCTCTTGAACGGGAGTCTGATTCTTTGCCACTGTCTCTCACTCTCTGCGTTTCCTTCCAGCCCCATTATGACCGAGTTCACGTGGCGGGCCTCGGCGGCAGCCCCCGATGATGGCAGCACTTGGAGTCTGTCCGGTTTAGTTTGTTTCCCCCATGGGCGTCGCTGGGTGGGCGGCCTGGAGAGCTCCCGGTGTTAACGTTTCGGTTCTAGACCGGGGGGGGGCGTGTCACTAGTAAAGCCATTGTAACAGAGTAGATCAGCCATGCATTGTCTGCCCTTCACAGCAAAAAGGAGAGTTCTCATCGGTGCACGACAGACTGAAGACCACTGGAAGCCACCCGACCGGGAATCTGTCGGAGCCAAAGCATAGGAGAAGGTCAGCATGAGGCCAGAGGAATGGGCCGGTCAGCCTTGGGCACAAAACACCAGTGGCGGTGCCCTGGGGGAGGGGACACAGATGCCGCCTAGCCCATCTGGCCACCCACACCCCAGCCACTGCGGAAGGTCCCTCTGCGGCCAGGCCAGGCGCTCAGCAGAACAAGTGACAGGAAGATGTGGAAGAAGATGCATGCAGATGAGAAGGGCCACGGGCCGCAGAGCCAAGAGGCCCAGGAATGATGGACCCGCGTCCATGCTGGCAAGAGATACTGGCTCCAAGCCCACTTCCTGGGAAGTAACCCGGTGTTTTACAAATGGGGCCAGGCTGTGTGCAGGAACTGGGATGCCCCCTGGGGCCAGATGTGAAAAGGAGCTCCCATCCAGACGTCTTCAAGAGCACACGCGGCCACAGAAGGGCAGCAGGCCCGCGGCAGGACTGTGCTGACAGACACTGCAAGCCCAGGCCGGGCGTGGAAGGCATCCTGTGCTGCCAAAGGAGGGAAGCACGGCCTGCACACCCAGCCATGCAGCAGCGGCGGAGGGACAGGCGGCTACAGCCGACGGGTTCCTACGGACAACAGCACGGACAAGATGCGGAGCAGAGCCCGAGCTCGAAAAGAAAAACAAACGAGGACAGAAATAAATGCGGAAGGAAGAGGTGACACAGCCAGGGCAGCAGAAACCACAAGGAGTCTCGCTGCAAGAGCACAAGAGCCCTGCCAAGCACGGTCCGTCGGGCTGAGTGGCATCTAACCCAGCAGCATGACCAACCCCAAGCCTGAGCAGGTCGGGAGTCCTGGGGCCACTGGACTCAGGCCCAGGCGCACAGCCCTGGGCTCCTGCTCCCCACGCAGGCTCCAGACTTGGCACACAAACAGCGGGCAGGGTCCTGGGACATTCTCTGGAACCCTCTTGAGGAGCACTGGGCGGGGGGCCTTGCTTGACCTGCAGCACCTGGCACGTGAGCCCACCCCCACGTGCTCCCACTCACCCAGTGCTGCCTTCCGACGGGAGACGCGCAGCTACTTGCCGTGGTGCTCGAAGGGAATGCTATTCTGAGGTGGGGGGAAAAGACAGCCATTGGTAAGGGCCCCCCTGGCCGGACTGGCACCTGGGGTCGTCCTGTCTCCACAAGTGCTTCCCTCACCTCGCCTCCACCAAGCCCGGGACCACAGATCTCCGGGTGGCCTGCCGAGGGCCCCTCCTCCTTAGGACTGAGCTGTTAATGAGGCCAAGGAGGAGCCAAGATTGAACCTTCCTAACTCCTCGCGCAGGCAGAGAGCCCACTGCCCAGATGGCAGCCCCTCAGGTGATTCTCAGCTGCAGCCACCTCCCCATGACACGGACTAGACACATTTCCTCGCTGACACAAGGAAGAGGATGGGCTTTGAACCCTGTGGAGGAGACATGGATTGAAACAAGTGAAAAGGAATAATTGGCACCATGAACTGGCATTACATTTTATCAACAGAGCTGAACTTCTGAGGCCCTTTCTTCCACAAAGAGAAAGGATGGCAAATAAGTTCAGCCACCAGATGCCTGCTGGGCTCCATGGTGTCCTGGCTGAAGCAGCCAGACGCGCACCCCAGGATCAGGAACTCAAGGATTGTGGTCTGCCCTGTGGGCTGGTCCAGCTCAGCTGCCGTTGAGAAGGAAGTGGGGGCGAGGGGAGTGCCACCCTCCTGTAAAGTGTGTGTGATGGCCATGGGGCCACCGCATGGCACGCAGGTGCCAAGGCACCTGCACCTAGTAGCTGGGGAGGGCCAGAGGGCCCACCAGCAGGCAGGCAAGCTGGCTGACTGGCAACTTGGAGCTCTTCCTGCTGAGGAGGAACTGCCTCTCCCACTCCAGGAGCACAGGGGGCAGAGACGAGGTCACTGTGGAGGAAGCTGGCAGGAAGTGGTCTCGGTCATAGCCACCCAACATGAACAGAGGTATGGTTGCCTCTGCTGCCACCCATGTGCTCTGGGGCAGTGTGGGCAGGGGCTGCAGAGCTGTACAGACTGGAGCAAGCCCACCAGCTCTGCTGTCCAGATCCCCAGAACAGGCACAGAGGGCAGCCCCCATGGTCTCAGGGACACCAGTAAAGTGCTGAAGGGCGGGAGTCCTCCTGTCTCCCAAGGGCACCTACAGTGATGAGAAACCCATGGGACGGAGCCACCCCTGGGATGGGGCACATGGGGACACACCTGGGGCTTTCCCCCATGCGAAGATCCTAGGAGAATCCCCAGGGTGGCCAGGGACAATAAGGTGCTTCCTTGGAAGGGAAATACCCCAAAATCAAATCCTTTGGCTACTCAATGCTGTTCAAGCCCACATTTTGTTTCTTCAGATGGAAAACTAGAAGAATCAAAAGAGCAAAGACACAGGACCCAGTTACAAGGCTGGTCACGACAACGTAGAGAAGGATCTCAGAGACGTGTCTAACCAGGGCTCAGGGCCGCAGGCGCAGGGCAGGCGCAGGGTGGAGAAAACAGCTGGACTAGGACACGGATGCCCAGCACCCACAGGGCTCTCTCTCCATTTCCTTCATTGATCCCAGACCCACCAGTGTTTCTTTCCTTAAAAGAAGAGTTAAATGTGCCTCTTCCTCAGTCCTTGCTGGTTGAGCCCTAATACGCAGATGCCAAGCTCAGACAGAGGCCCTACTACCCTGGGTGAGGTGTCCTGGCTGCTGCCCAGGTACGGGTGCACACCCCCAGCCGCCGATACACTCATGGGGAGAAACCCATCAAGCCTCGTCCTGCCCTGAGGGGGGAGAGGGGTCGGGTGAGGGGCCATCAGATGCCTAGTCTCATCACCCCAGCCAGGCCCCTTGAGCCCCACTACTGAAACTACCTGTGTCTTCAGTCTCTTTGGGACAAGGTTACCATAAAGAACAGCCCATTTTTAATAGAATCACTAGCAAGTTGGATGCATTAAGAAATAATGTTCACTTCACTTGATTAAAAAGAAACGGGGTCCGAAGTGTCGCCTCTGCATCCTCTACGGGAAGAGCAGCCGGATGCTGCAGAACTAAGGCTCTGGGAGGTTCTCAGACCCTGCGCTCTCCTAGGGAACAGACTCACGCCACCAAATTCACCAAAAAGCTATGCACAGCGCCGAGAAAGCACCAGTGATAGGGCTGGGCACCAACCTGTGCCCTGAGGGGGCACTGCGCGGAGCCAGAGGGGCGCTGCCTCAGCACACAGCCCAGGGCCCGGGCTTCCAGCATGTTCGGTTCCTGCCCTCTCGACAGACAGCATGGGGTGAAGAAGGCTCCCCCTGGGCGCAGGGGCAGGAGAAACGGCCCTGTGCAAGTCAGGGCCCGTGTTCGATACGCTAAACCACTCCCCCGCCTGTAGCAGGGGCTCAGAAAACTACTTGAGAAAAGCAGCTAGTAGGTATTTAAAGAGCGCTTCTGCTGGGCCAGGCACGTTGGCGGATGTAGAGAGCAGCACCAGGAGCAGAGTGGGAGGGTGCGGGTGGAGGAGAATGCTGGGGGGCACGTGTGCGGCCGGGCCCTGGCTGCCAGCGCCTCGTCCGCATCCAGCCTGCCTCTGTGCAGCAGGCTATTTCTCTGTGCCCAGCTGCCTTGTCAGAGGGCAGACAGACACAGAAATCCAAAGGATGGGACCCCCCCTCCACAGCCTGCGGCCAGGCTCTGGGCTCTCCTGGGCCTCTGCTTGCGCCACATTACAGGGACCACCAGCAGCCCCCTCCCCACCGCAGGGGCTCTGCTGGTGGGGCGCCACTCTGGCCAACAAGAACGAGGAAAGCTTCTCAAAGGCCGGGTGTGCCTAGGGCAGGCAGACATGGCCTCTCCAGCCTGCCCAGGGAGGACGGCCGCACCTCCACGGCCAGCTTGGGGTGGGGGCCATGTGGAGGCAGCACAGGAGAAAAAGCTCAGCTGGGGAGGTGAGTCCTTCACCTGCACGACTGGTCTCTGAGGTTCTCAACCCAGGGGCCAAATGGCAGCAAAGAGCACAGCACCCTGGCAGTAAACACTCAAATGTGGGTAAGGAAGGAAAGAAAGGAGGAAGGACACCCCCCCACCCCATGCCCAGAGCTCACACAACCAGCGCACTGCACACACCAAGCAGCTGGAGGCCACAGCACCCTGACCTTGGCGGGCTCGGCGCATACCTGTGAGGTGGACATGCGCGAGGTGTCTTGTCGGCCTGTGAGATCGGAGGAGGAGATGTTGACGGGGGCGCCGCGGTGCAGCCGCATACTCACTTTCCGCTCTCGTTCCATGCCGGACACGGGCCGAGGAGAGGTGTTAGCTGAGGGAGAGCGGACAGGGCGTGTGAGTCGGGCCTCAGAACGTGATGCCAAGCTCCAGAAGGGATCTCTCCTTGGGAACAGTGTCTAACAGACCCACGCCTGCCTTGGCATCGGGCACAGAGGAGGCGTGGGCAGGCCGCACACCAGGCTTCCAGGTAGCACGACACTGCTCACACCAATTCCCACGTCAGCATCAGTGGGCAGGGCCCAAGAAGCACCCAGAAATGCGAGTCCTTGGGCTATGGGCGGACTGCCCACAAGCAAGGCGCCAGGCATTTGCTGTGCAGGGGACACAGTTCATGTCACGAGGTGGAGGCGAAGCAAGAGGGGCAGAGCCTCTGGGAACCCAGGCCCTTACCCAGTCCCTAGGCTGCTCCCGCGCACAGCAGCACACTCCCAGAGGGGATGCCCCTGCGGCCAGACCAATCAACGTGCGAAACAGAACCCCTGGCTGCCTCAGGGCCTGGCGGGAGGCGGTGGCCCAGGCGCACTCACCCGTGTGTGAGGTAGGGGTGAGGGGGGTGGGAGGAGCCGCTTCCTGGGTGCCCCTCAGCCGGCCTGAGGCCGTGGAGGGGAGGCCTCGCGTGGCTGGATTTCGGGAGTGTCTTAATCGCTCCTCGCGGTCCCGGCGTTCCCGCTCGGCATCGTCGGCTGCCCGGCTGGCTCCCTGAGGAGGAAAGAGGACGAGACCAGAAAGGGTTTGGTGAACCACGGCCCAAGGCCGAGCCCTGCAACACGGGCAAATTAACAGGGCCACTAGGACAAGACCACCATGAGGCCACCCAGGGCAGTGCGGCGAGCTGAGACTAGACACCTCTCCCCCCACGACGCAGCGCAGCCTCTGGCCCAGCGAGCAAGGGCACACGGCAGAGGGGACCCATCGCTGCACTCCAAGCCCAGCGGCGAGCGATGGCCCTCCTCTGTGAGCACCCACACAGGGACAGGAGACTGGGAGGGCAGCAGAGCGACGCAGGCCCAGACAGGCCTGGGGATGCTGGCAGCACGCACACCACCAGGAAGCCAGCAGCGCACTAGGTCTGCTCCCAGCACCAACAGCTAGTTATGCTGTCAGCAGGGAGCAGGTGCACTGGGGGTCCTGACGTGGTGAAGATGCCCAGGACACATTACGTTCCCACTACCAGAGCCGCAAAGCGAGAGCGCAAACTTCTGCCCTCAGGCCACCTCCAGACACCATCTGTCTCCACAAACGAAGTTTAATTGGCGCAGCCACGCCCACTCATTCACACAACCCCTGCAGTGGCTTTCCAGCTGCAACACAGAGGAGGTTGCAAAAAACGAGTGATTCAGCCACCTGGCCCTTCACAGGACGGGTTGGTCGAGCAGCTGAAGTGGACGCTAGGAGGAGCATCGGGTGGCCCTGGAAACAAGTCCTCCGACACCCAGCCCCCAGGCAGTCTGCGCTCTACACGCAAGCCAGCCCACCCTGCAGGGCCCTCTGCTCCCAGGATCGCCCTGTCCTGCCAGGTCAAGTTGGGGCAGTCTCCGCAGGACTGCCAGCCCTGCAGGAGCACCCCTGCACCTGCAAGGCGGCCTTAAGGCTTCCTGTCTCACTCCCCTGAAGAGGAGGTTCTGCTCCTGTCAGATTCTGTCGCCCTGCAAAGCTTCCAATTTCTGTCGTAAGCTTGTTAACTAAGTAGAACGAATTTTTAATGAAAGATAAAGTAGAACTTAGAATAAACTGGCCAACGCCTGCTTAGTGAACAAACTGGGGAATAAATAAACCTAAGTCCAGCTTACTGCAAGACCCAGTGCAGCGTCCCAGGCTGCCCACCCCTCTGGGAGCCTGGCTGCTGAGCAGCACAAGGCCGGAGGGAGACGGGGCAACATCCCCAGGCTGCAGCCACATCATTCTGCAGGAGGGACCCATGGGCACCATGCCTTAGCATCCCAGGACGCCAAACAGCGCTTAGCATTGATGATAACATGGATGGCCTTTCACCTGTTGACTCAGCACCAAGCAGGACTCTGGCCTGGGGACACACTGTACATAGCCCTGGCTGTCCACATCCCATGAATGCCACTGGCCCCCAGAAGCCCAGCAACCATGCCGTGTCCACGTGGCGAAACCCTTGTTCTTCCCTAACAACGGTCTTGCTCCTTGGGCGTCTTCGTCCCCAGTAGGACCCACATAGGCCATGTCCCTACCAGGCACACTGGGTGCCCCCAGACCTGTCCAGCGTGGCTTCTCACCCAAGACACAGCCATGGGCAGGTGGCCAGCGCCAGCTCGCCTCCCCTTCACACAGGAAGGCAATGAGCTGGCAGGGTCACTTACAAATTTAAGCATGTTCCAGTCAAACACGTAGTCGTAGGAGAAGCCCTGGCGGTGGAACAGGTTCCTGAAGAGCTGCCTCAGGTACGAGTAGTCAGGCTTATCATCAAAACGCAAGGAACGGCAGAAATTCAGGTACGTGGCAAATTCAGCTGTAAAACAAGAAGCTTTGAGCTAACGAGCAATACTCCTACCTGCCTGGGAACCAGCCCAGGGGTTCAGCAGCGCGACTGACGGCCACCACTGCTACAAGCCCTGGGCATGGAGGAGGGACTGGGAAACACCGGCCACGCTCTGAAGGGCGTAGGCCTCAGCAGGTTAAGGAGCAGCTCCACAGAACACGATTCAGTTTCAACTAGAGCATGTGTCCTAGGGGCACAGCCCCATGACGACAGGAAAACTCTGAGTTACGGCTCCGGAAGGCATAGGGGTGCTAGGGTGGCAGACTGTGGCAGCTGGGGACAGGCCATCCGCCCAGGCTTCACCTCCCGAGCCAGGCAGGACTGCAGGAGGGGCCTCCAGGTGGCATGCCCTGCTCACTCCCCAGCATCCCCAGGCCCTGGTAGACAGGCCAGGGGCCACCGGCACCCCTCCTCACACAGAAAGCAGTGGAAGCTGCTCCGCCCAGCACTCACAAGGGTAGCCTTTACACAGCACTTCGATGGGGGTGGACATCTTCTTCTCACTGATCCGCTCATACTTCTGTCTCTTAGTGGCAGCCTTTAGCCCCTGCCAGGGCAGAGAACCCAGGTTGAAGTACATGAGCACATAACCCAGCGACTCCAGGTCATCCCTTCGAGATTGTTCTGGAAAGAAAAAGGAAATGGGTCAAATGTGCACTTGTTGCAGCAAAGCAGAAGCCCCCAAGCAGACACCGACTGCGGAGAGGAATTTTAAATCACAAAGAACACACCGGACACTGTCCTGAGATGCTGAGAGGAACTTCCACTCCCCAGAGAGAGACACCAGTGTCAATGGCTGCCTGCCTACCCCCACTCTGCCCCACAAAAGTTTCCAGTCCCAGGAACCAGGCTTTGCTACAAAGGCCTGAGGACAGCCTCTGTAATGTGTGACCACTCACAGGGTCTCCCAAGAGGCTGGTCCTTCCCTGACCTGAGGCAGGGACCCGGCCAACGCAGCCTAGGTCAGCAACCAGGGGCTCAAGAGACCCCACCACCCACGGGCTCACCGATTCCAAGATGCGTGTTGATGGAGGCGTACCGCGCCGTGCCTGTGAGGTTCTTGTTCTCACGGTAGGGGATGTGCTGGTGGGTCCGGGCGTCCCGATACTTCTTGGCCAGCCCAAAGTCTATGATGTAGACCAGGTTGCCCTTCTTCCCCAGACCCATGAGAAAGTTATCTGGCTTCACATCCCGGTGGATGAAGTTCTTTGAGTGAATGTATTCAATACGACTAATCTGTAGGTAGAGAAACGGTGGCGTGGGAATTAAGTCCCAGAGCAGCAGCCTTGGAAAAGGCACCACTCACAGGATGCTCTGTGCCCTGTGGCCAGAGAAACTCAACAGCCAGGAAAGGACATGGAACTGGCCGCCTTCCGCGGTCCCCAACAGGAGGCCTAGGCACATCCCTCTCGTTGGCTGGCCGTTCACTGTCTAGCAGTGTGAGCGCCAGTGCCCCTCCCGAGGGCCCATGCTGCTCGCGCCAGGAAGGCGGACTCCACGTCCACCTGCCATTCCCCTCTGGCAAAGGCTGCCCAGCTCCGGCCCCTCCCTGCATTGACAGCACGAAAGCCAGGACAGGCCTGAGGGTGCCGTCAGGCTTCCCGCCAAACCGCTGTGCCGTGCCGCATGCGCCAGCTGCTGTCAGCTTGGAAACGGGCTCTCACCATTTGGTCAGCAAGGAGCAGGACGGTTTTGAGACTGAACTTCCTGGAGCAGAAGTTGAAGAGGTCTTCCAGGCTGGGCCCCAGCAGCTCCATCACCATGACGTTGTAGTCCCCCTCCGCGCCGCACCACCGGATGGTGGGGATGCCCACTGTGGGAGACACGAGACACCTCGGCACGGGCGGCTCCCCTCGTGACCAGGATGAGCCGCATGAGCCAGGTGCCGGCCGACAAGGCCTGGGCAGGCAGCAGTCGGAAGTGCCAAAGGGAGGGGCGGGGGCAGGCAAGAGCTGGGCGTGGACAGGGGTGCAGGCAGGACCCGCAGGGCTGGCCCACCAGCACCAGTTCCCAGGATGAGCACCTCATGTGCATGTGGCACGTTCGTCACAGTCAATGCCCCTATTCACATTTCCTTGATTTCCAACCTGTTTGCCCCCTTTCTGCCCCTGGATCCGTGTGACACTGGGTCGCCGAGCCCCAGCTCCTGGCTGTGCTGTCTCCCAGGCTGGGGTGACCGTGGCAGTTTTGAGCACTGCTCAGGGTCTCTGCAGCTGTCTCAGGATCCTCATTATCAGTCGGAATTTGCAGGCATGGGAAGGAAAAGCACAAAGGCAAAGTACCTCCCGGCGCCCTCCACCAGCTGACTGAGGTGCGTCTGTCCTCCGGACACTGTCCTGAGATGCTGAGAGGAACTTCCACTCCCCAGAGAGAGACACCAGTGTCAATGGCTGCCTGCCTACCCCCACTCTGCCCCACAAAAGTTTCCAGTCCCAGGAACCAGGCTTTGCTACAAAGGCCTGAGGACAGCCTCTGTAATGTGTGACCACTCACAGGGTCTCCCAAGAGGCTGGTCCTTCCCTGACCTGAGGCAGGGACCCGGCCAACGCAGCCTAGGTCAGCAACCAGGGGCTCAAGAGACCCCACCACCCACGGGCTCACCGATTCCAAGATGCGTGTTGATGGAGGCGTACCGCGCCGTGCCTGTGAGGTTCTTGTTCTCACGGTAGGGGATGTGCTGGTGGGTCCGGGCGTCCCGATACTTCTTGGCCAGCCCAAAGTCTATGATGTAGACCAGGTTGCCCTTCTTCCCCAGACCCATGAGAAAGTTATCTGGCTTCACATCCCGGTGGATGAAGTTCTTTGAGTGAATGTATTCAATACGACTAATCTGTAGGTAGAGAAACGGTGGCGTGGGAATTAAGTCCCAGAGCAGCAGCCTTGGAAAAGGCACCACTCACAGGATGCTCTGTGCCCTGTGGCCAGAGAAACTCAACAGCCAGGAAAGGACATGGAACTGGCCGCCTTCCGCGGTCCCCAACAGGAGGCCTAGGCACATCCCTCTCGTTGGCTGGCCGTTCACTGTCTAGCAGTGTGAGCGCCAGTGCCCCTCCCGAGGGCCCATGCTGCTCGCGCCAGGAAGGCGGACTCCACGTCCACCTGCCATTCCCCTCTGGCAAAGGCTGCCCAGCTCCGGCCCCTCCCTGCATTGACAGCACGAAAGCCAGGACAGGCCTGAGGGTGCCGTCAGGCTTCCCGCCAAACCGCTGTGCCGTGCCGCATGCGCCAGCTGCTGTCAGCTTGGAAACGGGCTCTCACCATTTGGTCAGCAAGGAGCAGGACGGTTTTGAGACTGAACTTCCTGGAGCAGAAGTTGAAGAGGTCTTCCAGGCTGGGCCCCAGCAGCTCCATCACCATGACGTTGTAGTCCCCCTCCGCGCCGCACCACCGGATGGTGGGGATGCCCACTGTGGGAGACACGAGACACCTCGGCACGGGCGGCTCCCCTCGTGACCAGGATGAGCCGCATGAGCCAGGTGCCGGCCGACAAGGCCTGGGCAGGCAGCAGTCGGAAGTGCCAAAGGGAGGGGCGGGGGCAGGCAAGAGCTGGGCGTGGACAGGGGTGCAGGCAGGACCCGCAGGGCTGGCCCACCAGCACCAGTTCCCAGGATGAGCACCTCATGTGCATGTGGCACGTTCGTCACAGTCAATGCCCCTATTCACATTTCCTTGATTTCCAACCTGTTTGCCCCCTTTCTGCCCCTGGATCCGTGTGACACTGGGTCGCCGAGCCCCAGCTCCTGGCTGTGCTGTCTCCCAGGCTGGGGTGACCGTGGCAGTTTTGAGCACTGCTCAGGGTCTCTGCAGCTGTCTCAGGATCCTCATTATCAGTCGGAATTTGCAGGCATGGGAAGGAAAAGCACAAAGGCAAAGTACCTCCCGGCGCCCTCCACCAGCTGACTGAGGTGCGTCTGTCCAAGTCTCCACCCGGGAACTCCTTCCCTCCCTCTCCACTGTGCTCTCTGGAAGGCTGTGACCACGTGCAGCCCACACGTGCGGGGTGGGGGTTCTGCAACCCAACTCCGAAAGCAGAGTTCCACATACATGACTTGGGATTCTTTGCACAGATTTGTCTCTTTTCCTCATTTATTCCCTGTTCAAGTATTTTACTGGTGTGAACCCATGGACACCCATCTACGCTCTGGCCTGTGCTCCGACCTTACGTCCCTTCACCTGATGCCCAGAGTGCCAGCCCCAGCCCCTGGAGGGCTCCTGCACCCCTGCAACACTTACCGTCACTGGGCTTTCGTCCTTTGCTCGTGGAGCGCCGCCTTACTTTTTGGCACTGTGAGATGCCAAGCATTTTCAGTTTAGCTTTATAGCGACCTGGTGACGCGGCAACCCCCTTCCATTTCTTTAAATTATTCAAAAAATATATTTTACGTATTACATGAGAATGAATGGCAGGTATGGGCGCTAAGTGATCTTCCATTTGTAGAATACACAATTCACCTACTTGGTTGTTCAGGTTTGCATCCATAATAAATGGTGCTATTAAAGACATTCTTATTTATGTCCACTGGTGAAAGTTTTCATACATGAAATTACGTTCACATCTAGTTTTTTCCCCAGGCACACACCTAGAAACAGGGTACAAACTGTCTATGCAAAATAATGCCAAATTGTTTTCCAAAATGGGTAACTCAATTCACTCCCACTAGCAATGAGTACCTGTTGACGCAAGGATTTATCAGATCTCATAATTTCTACCAACTGCATGGTATAAACTGGCATCTCACTGCTATCTGAATCTTTTTTTCACAAGTTCATTGATCATACATGTTTCTTCTTCTCTGAGATGTCAATGCATGTCTTTTACCAATCTTTCTATAATAAATATATAGCAGTTCTTTATAAATTCTGGATCCTAAACAATCATTGGTTTTATGAGAGGCAAATGTCCCCTCTCAGTCAATGACTTTCCTACATTTTCTTTTGGAGTCTTTGATAAGAAGAGATGCTAAATTTAAAAAAGATCAATGTAACAACCTTTTCCTTTAAGAGTCACTTTTTTGGTATCTTAATTAAAAAACCTTTCCTGAACTCAAGAGTTAGAAAGAGATGCTAATATTTCTTTTAAAAGTTTAAGTTATACTTCTACTTCTGGCAATGATGGAGTAATAGGGCCCAATTTACCCTCACATCCGCAATAACCAAGAAGAGCAATCACAGAATACAGGAAAGTCTATTAGACACTGAACACAGAAGGTGGATGACACTGGTGCCTGAAAGGCAGGGACAGCATCAGCCCGGCCTGCCTGGACAGTGGGGGCCGAAGGTGACAACAGAGCAGAGTGACTTAACTTCGCCCCAAACCTGAGCTGAGGAAAAGTCTGAGGGGTAACAAAGCAGCCAGCACGCAGAGGGTGGGAGGCGGTGTCGGGCGCCCAGAGATCGCCCGTCATGCAAAGCAGCAGAAAACATGATCTGCGGTGAGAAACAGTAACCTGGAGCTGCCTCTGGTGCTGGACTCCACGGAAGGGCGACAGAAGTTACTGTGAACTATATTCCATGTCAAAAATGTTTCAACTTGCTGTGTGTCAAAGAAGTCAAGCCATGTATGGGAGACAAAGACTCAACTTTTGGGGATGAGAACTAAAGTGCTTGAGATGAAAATTACACTGAATGGGATCAAAAATACTTAAGAAAAGACTCATGAACTCAGAGGCACAGCAACAGAAACTAGTGGACAAGCCAACAAGAGCTTCGGTGATCCGGAGGGCAAGCCAGCAGACAGAGCCTCCTGATGGGAGGCCCGGGGAAAGGGAGGGTGGAGAGGACAGGAATGATACTGGAACAGCCGGATAAAACCAGTATCCCTGCAGTCCCGAGAAGCTTGAGGAAGCCCAAGCCCAAGAACAGGAAACACGTTAACGAACCTGCCAATCAAGTCGCTCACAACTACTGATGAGGAGGGCACCCTGAACGCAGCCCCAGGAGAAGGACGCTTCACACAGGGAGGCGCAGAGACAGGGCAGAGCCTGCAGACTCCTCATCAGAACAAGGCATGGAACAGCGGCAGGACATCCTGCCAGTACCAAGAACACAACTGGCAATCGACAAAAGCACGGACTGCCAAGAAAGCCTTGGTGAAGACAACATGAAGACGTCTTCAATATAAAAGAGCTGAAGATCGGCTGGCAGACCCGCACCGGCACGTATGTTACAGGCAGATGCCGACTCTGAAGACGGGACCCTCCCAGGATGAAAAGCACCAGAAATGCCACGGAAGTACATGATGATTTTAAAAATCATTTCAATCTCTGTAAAAGATACGACTGCTTAAACAAAAATACAGTGCAACGTAGGGTTTGTAACAAGTGACCACAGGCCGGGTGGGGGACTGAAAGTGGTCACAGGGCCTGCACAGCGCTGAGGACAGCCTGCCACGGATTGAAGGTGTGTGACAGACCCTAACTCTACCCCTAAACAATGAAAGACAGACAGCTAATAAGCCAACAATGGAGCCAGCCATAAGAAAAATCATTAAGAAAATGTCTGATTAATCCAAAAGGAGGGAAAGTGAAACAAAAAAACAGATGAGACAAACTTCAGATGGACTCAAACCCAATCCTGTCATTTATTACACTAAACATAAGGCATCTAAAGTAAGCCTCGTTCTCAGATCAGCCAGAAAAGAGAAGAGCAAGTATCCACGGCGCCCACGATAAACATCCTTTGGATGCAAAAGGGTTAAAAGAAGAAAGACAGGGTGTAACACTGACACCAACGAGCCCGGGTGTGCTGTGTCAGCATTAGGGGCAGGTCATGGAGAAGGGTATTTCCAGGGATATGCCCATCATTTCATAGTGATAAAGGCATCAACTTATCACAAAAACATAATCATTCTAAGTGTTAACCCAGCTAACAGAGCTTCAAAACACAGGAAGCAAAACCACAAGGAAAGAACCCTAAATCCAACTGGATGGGAGGCTCCAGCGACCCCCTTCCATGACCCTTCTCAAGGACGCATGGGACCAATGACCAAGAGAGACCACATGCTGTACACAAAAAGGGTCCAAAGCTAAAAGGACTCGAATTACATGAAGTATGTTCTAAGACAACAGAATTCAATTAGAAATAAATAACAGAGCTTCCCAAATATTTGGAAGCTAAATAATACACTTAAAAATAATGCATGGGTCAAGGAAGAAATCAAAAAGGGAATTAGAAGGCATTTTGAACTAAATGAAAATGAAAGCACAACACACCAGAGCTTCTGAAATGCTGCTACAGCAAGTGGTGCTGGGGGGAGACCTACAGCAGCTTAGTGCCTGCATTCAGAGAGGAAATCAGTGATCACTTCCACACTAAGAAAAAAGGAAATCAAACCCAAAGCAAGCAGCAAAAATGAAATAAAAGATCACAGCAGAAATTAGTGAAACAGGGAAGAGAAAAAACTACTAAATCCAAAGTTGGTTCTATGAGATTTTTGATAAACCTCTAACGACTATCTGGGAAAAAATAGGGAAGGTACAAATTACCAGTTATCAGGACTGAGAGGTGACATCTTAAAGTCTACAAATGTTAAAAGACTAGTAGTGAAATATAAACAGCTTTATGCCAATAAATGCAGTGACTTAGATGAACAGACCAATTATTTGAAAGACACGAACCGTCAAAGCCCCCATCCTGCTGGCAGGCATGCGGAACAGCACCACTTTAGAGGGCAGTTTGGCAGAGTGTGCCGAACCTGAAAAGGTGGGACACCCGTGTACTTCTGATTCAGCCGTTCCCCTCCTAGATGCTTACCCAACGGAAAAGGAAACAACGGAAGTCTACACAAAAGCTCACGGCAGCTCTGTCTGCAATGCCTGAAACCTGGAACCACCCCACGTCCCACGCAGGTGAAGGACAGAAGCGACGGCATGCCCCTGCTGGGAAGGCTTTCTGCCGCGCCGAGGGACGGCGTGCTCAGCTGAAGGCAGGGTTCCCATCACCAGTCTCCTCGTGATGCACCTGAGGGGCAGGGTGCTAGAAGCTGCTCCAGGCCATGGGCTGAGATGAGAGCCAAAAGGGGTGCCTCCCTAGGGGGCACAGACCTCTGGCCACGCTCACTTCCACTTGGGCCAGCCCCTGCCCCTTTTTATTTACAGCTTTCCTGGGTAACTGCCCCTCAAGGGCCCATTTCCTCAGAGTGTCAACCACACTAGCTGTGTGCCAATGACATTATCTTGTGCACTTTTTCTCTTGATACAAACATTCTGGCTTTGTATCTCTGTGTATTTTAGTGTGGGGCCCACATTTCTGCACTGTCTCTGGTCACCATCTCAGGGTGAGTCGTCAGCAGCTGCAGGACCACACAGCAGGAATATGCTCTGCTGTTTTATCACAGAGAACTATCTGGAGTGCACAGCCTATTGAGCACCCAATTTTTTTATTTTTATTTTGTTATTAATCTACAGTT